ATTTAAGTCGTAAAAAAACTTTTTTTTTTTTTTTTTTTCCCAAAAAGCAAGTGAGAAGCCAAGTTTTTTTCCTTTATTTTTAAGGGTGGTTCTCATCATTCTGAAAGAAAAGGCCACGGCTTGGAAATATGAAACTATGAATGACCCAAAGGCTCAAGATTTTAAAAAAACCACAACTGCAGACATGGAAAAAGATCCTCAAATTTATTATTTAGAAGCAATTTCATAATTCTTGCAACCTGACTCATCAGTTTTTGAAGAATGAGGCTTGTCAAGCTGCTCTCAACAGGAGCTGGTTAAAATCCCATGGTGCCCACAGAGGTTACACACCCTCCACATTAAGCAATATTTTCCCTGCAGGAAGAAGGCTCCTCACAGTCCCAGTTCATATCCAATATCCCAAACTCATCTCCATCCTCTGTATTGATTTTTGATCTGTTCGTTTGTTGAAATCAAATGATTTCAATATTATTGAAATCAAATGATTCTGAGCTCAGATTCTGAGCTGACCAGGACCAGAGCACTCCCAGCCACATCCTCACCCTTCCCCAACAGCAAAGTTTCTATTTCAGGGGTAAGAGAAGGATGAAGGCAGAGCATCATCCTGATGCAGCTAAAAAACATTGGCATTGAACAAAACCTGCTCAGAGGGAACATCTCCAGGGCTACACAGTGGATTCTGTGAAAAAGTGGATCTACTTTACCCATAGACTTCTATTAAGAAATAGCAGAAGAGCAGAATCTGGAGGAAATATGAGTGTATTAAAAGGTTTTCTTAGGGGACACACTTGAAAAAGCAGCATTTGTGTATTATTTAAGCTAATAAAAAAATCAATGGAACAATGTCACTGGGATGTGGCAGTGAATTTTTCACTGTTGCCACTGAACTCATCAAAGCCTGCTTCATGGTGAAGCAATTAATTGCACAAGTTGATGGCTGGTGGGTATTCAATGATTTTTGAGGATTTTTTTCCCGTGGAAAATTTCCACTTCAGTTGCAAAATATATAATGAGAAGCTGAAAATGTAACCTTGCTGTGATCCAAGTGGAAGCACAGAGTCTGAGCCTGGCAAAAGGTTTTAGCAAATTCCAGTACTAGTTAGACACAAATGGTTGCCCAAGCTACACTGGTTCTAAGATTTGAGGTAGAATCTATGGATTCTTTGAATTTTTTTCCTGGTTAAAGTGTACAAAATGCATGACCACGTATCAGTGCAGAGCTAAGAGAACACTTGCAAAAATGCCAGGGAACTGTCAGGGAAATCCCTTGATGTGAACATTAATTAATGTAAAAATAACCCACAGGCATAAAGCACCTCAAGCAATGATGGGATGTGTACCCAAACAAAGGATGGGGGCAAAAAAAAATCTTAAATGCATGAAAAACAGATTATCTTCAGAGATTATCCCTTGTGGGTACTGATGATCTTCACTTGCTTTGCTGTGGAAGAATCCCTCCACAAAGGATTTTTTTTGTACCACTCTTCTGTTCCAGTATCATATTCTTAATTGGGTTTTGTTCAGTTACAATCTTTAAATCAGAAGAGATTGGTGCCCTTAAGTTGTTAACACTGTGCTCCAACACTCTGCAATTTCTCCACAGCAAATCCAGTGGGGAAAGGTCACTGGATAAAAGTGTTAGAAAACTTCACAGGAAGTATTTTGGTGAATTTGTATTCATCATTACTCAACCAGCATAGCAAATGTGAATGAATTACTCCCATCCATGAAATTAGGAAAGGTTTTTTATCCTGATCCAATGGCATTTTACACTTGGCCTGCCCTAGAAACAGGTAACAGAACAAAAGAAAGAGCTTTTATAAATTCAACCCTGGAGATCCCACAGAGCTCTGGAATGAAGGGCAGGAAAGGACCTGATTTAGGTACACGAAATTGCACAAAACATCATCAACATCATCCTTTTATTTAGCAGATC